AGACTTCCTCCTACAATTCCCCTTTTAGTCTAAAAAAGGACAACTAACTTGTGTCCATGAACAAAATGTATCAAACATCTATTCTAACTAAACCTAAACTTATCTTAAAGAAACACCCAAATATGAACACCTCCTTCCAATCCCAACTCTAAAATAATTGAAAACTAACACTAACAGGTGTAATCTTATAATATCAATAGTAGGGAGAGGGGGCGTGGAATTCTCAAAACTACTTCCTGCTGAGATGGGACGATGATAATCTCATGGGGACCTGTGAAAAGAAAATGTTAGTATAACAAAATCTCAGTAGATCAGACAGTCTCAGTATGGCAGGAGATGCTTGATTGAAGTTCCTGACTGGGGTTCTAGTGTTGATTGAAGCTCTTATCTTGAAGCTCTGGTCAGATTGTAGAAGATGTGCTATTTCCGTTCCTTGGTCTGGAGTTGTGTCAAGTGATGTAGTTTCAAGCCAGTTTCAGGATAGTGCTTGTCAGGTGGAGTCAATGATGTGGGGCAGTTCAGATGCCTCCAGTCGAATCAGGTGAAGTCAAGGAAGTGGATCCTCATTCTCTTTCGGAAGCAGTTGAAGATTGCTGTCAGGAAATCCCTTGTTCTCTGGAAAACTCAAACATTACTGTTAACAAAGAAATATTTTAACTTTCATATGTAAGCATACAGAAGAGGTGACAATAGGGAAGATGGAAAACCTGGAGGAAATTAGACTGTTCAGAAAAAGAAATCCACAGATAACAGTCCCTCATTTTATTTCTTCTGTCTTATATCAATGGCTCTTTGATATAATACAGAAATTCTGAATTTTATTTAAATAATATGCTTGGGTTTAGAGTAGAAGAGCCAATCCAACTCCAAAGCCAGCTTCAGTTAAATGAATGGGAACTGAGGTATGTGAAGAAATAAAGATAAAAGGGTACTATGAAAAAACAATATAGAGAGATTTAGACTTTGATACCACACAGTGTGTGTTTGATGGTCCTCAGGGTAGCTATTCATTCTTCTACAGGAATCCATATGTCCAGTATTCTTTGCTGAGTTTACCTGTGAAGACCAAAAACAAAACACTTCTCTTTCCTTTTAGGAGGTCACTTTACCCATGGTGGACTATGAATTTGTAGATGGGCTGTTATCTTCCTCCTCCTGAGATGTTTTCTGTTCTGATCGAATTTTAATTAATTTTGATGGAATCTTGCTAAATGTTAATAGACAAAATGTTGTAACTGTGTTCTTACTTGATAACTGTTCTGTCATATACAATTTGACTATGTTAAAGTTAAGACCTTTCTTTTTGTTTAAACAGAAAAGAGGAGATGTTGGGGAAGTCTTATGTCAATAAAGTACTGTTGAGCCTATAGGGAACCAAGATGGGAGGGACTAGGAGTCCAGGAGAACTCTGGGTAGGAGAAACACAAGAGAGTTCGAGATGTAACCGCCATTGGGGTAGGAAGCCTGGAACCTCCCCGGTAAGAAACATACTTAGATTAACAATTATGGGGTAATTACTTAAGGCAGAGCTAGCCAGTAAGAGACAAACAAGGCCAACAGCTTCATAATTAATATAGCCTCCTGTGTGTTTATTTGGGACTCAAGCGGATCTAGAACCAGGCTGGCGCGGCAGAGCCCAGGTGACTGGCGGGGGATAAACCAAAGCGGCTAGCAAAGGAAAAAGATTCTCGTAACAGAGAGCAAACTTTTGGGGGTTTTTGTTTGTTTGCTTTTTGTTTGTTTGTTTGAGATCCTGTCTCTATATAGTCCTCACTATCCTAAAACGTGATGTAGACCAGGCTGGCCTTGAATTCACAGAAATTCTTCTGTCTCTGGCTTTAGTCTGTGGGATTAATGGAGTCTCCCACCATGGCAGGCTCAGGGAGAAAGAGCTCTTCATCTGTCCGCTGACCTCCACTTGTGTGCCAGTCAACTCACACACACTCAAAATGCGTGGCAGTAGTTTTAGTCTGTTTTGTTTTTAAGAAACTACTGAGCTGACTGAGTGAAACATGCCTATAATCCCAGCACCTAGGAGGCTGAGGCAGAAAGATTGCCAGTTCAAAGTCACTGTGGACTACCTAGACTGTCACATGTGTGAGGTTGTGTGTCGCCATGTATGTATAGAACTCAAATGACAGCTTCCACCATCAGAATCTAAGACACTGGTTCTCAACCTTCCTGATGCTGTGACCCTCTAATACAGTGTTTCATGTGATCCCCAACCATAAAGTTATTTTCATTGCTACTTTCTATTATAATGTAGATTTCTTACATGTGGGATATTATTAGGCAACCCCTGTGAAACGGTAGTTGGACCCCTAAAGGGATCGATACTCACAGGTTGAGAACCGCTGGTCTAAGGAATTAGACTCAAGTTGATGGGCAGGCACCATCACTGGCTGAGTCTTCTTGCTGGCCCAGAGTCACTGCCTTAAAGGCAGAAGCAGGAATGATAGCATTTTTCATCTCATCTGTTCTGCCTCTGCCAGGCACATGCCTCATACTCCTGAATTCTGTGGGTATCTTGGACAAGTGTCAATACAAGCAAGGTCATGTGCTGTAGAGACCGTTCTGAGATTTGCGGCTGACTTTAGCCATAGATGATAGTGTGGCAAAGGGAGGTTGTTCTGCTTGTTTCTCTGTTGTGGGGTGAGAAGCATAGAATCTGGTGGGGTGACATCTGATAATGGTGAAGGCTGGATCAATGCTGTGCTAAGTACAGCGGTGCCTCCTGTTGGCCTTTAGTATATTTGCTCATGCTGTTCCTTGGTTTTTTTTTTTTTTTTTTTTTTTTTTTTGGTTTTATGAGACAGGGTTTCTCTGTATTGTTTCGGAGGCTGTCAAACTCACAGAGATCCGCCTGTCTCTGCCTCCCAAGTGCTGGGATTAAAGATGTGCGCCACCACCGCCCAGCTCCATATTTCTTCAGTCAGGTGTATTTAATTGTCCTGTGTTGTCCTATGTGTCAACCTTGGTACAACACTTGAACTTGCAAATATAAAACCGGACCAATAAAACCAAAGAGAACTGTGGCTGCTCTTGAAGAGGACCCAGGTTCAGTTCTAACCTCCACGTTAGGCCACTCACAGCCACCTATGTGTAACTCCAGTTTCAAAGACTCCAACACCCTCTTCTGACCTGTGGGCACTGCATACACATGGTGCACATACATGCAGACGAGACACCGAGGTATATCAAATGGGTGTTTGTGTAGAAAGCGTTTTCTTTTACCATATAACACAAAAGCTACCACATGATGGATATCAGCTCTAAACATAATGAAGCTCGTACCAGGAGAAAGTTGAAGGAAGATGAAATACTCAACTTTGTAGTGGGCAAAGATTCACGGCAAGTCAGCATGAGAGGTTCAACACTACCTGTCCCGGCCGGTGTTAGTTATACTTGTTATAACTACCCAGCAAGAAGCAGCTCGTGGACTGAAGAGCTGGTTCAGTGGTAAGAGGACTGGCTGATGTTCCAGAAGAGGTGGGTTCAATTCCCAGAGACCACACCCCACAACCCTCTGTAATAGTAATCCCAGGAGATTCAACACCCTCTTTGCCTCAATGGTACCAGACACACTTTAGTATACTATATACATGTAGGCAAAATATCCTCGCAAAATAGTGAAATTACTTTGTTTTAAAATACAGCTCAGGCTAGGCGTTTGTGGCGCACGCCTTTAATCCCAGCACTCGGGTGGCAGAGGCAGGTGGATCTCTGTGTTCAAAGCCAACCTGGTCTACAGGACAAGCTTCAAAGCAATACAGAAAAGCCCTGTCTCAACCAAACCAAACCCAAAAAACCTCAGTGGTATTTGAACAGGTTCATTCCTTTATTACAGGGAAGACAGCTGAGTCCATGCACATGGGAGTTGGAAGCTGTGAACTCACATTGTGGTAGGTGTAAAGCAGAACACATGGTTGGGACTATGGCATGTGAGACCCACTGGCAACAGTCCACTTCCCCCAAACAGATAGCCACACTGCCTAAGGTTCCACAGCATCTTCCAAACAGCATCTATACCCAGGAATCAAGTGTTCAAATGCAGCCTGTAGATGATATTCCACACAGGTAATTCTCACCCAGCCAAATGCCTAAAGTTAGAAAGGACGGGGCCGGCCTACTGTGTGGACTTACTGTTAATTTCAGAGGCAGATCTCCAAGTCCAGGACAGCCAGGGCTGCAGAGTGAGACCCTATCCCAAAAGGAAAAAGGCTGGAGAAATGGCTCAGTGGTTAAGAGTGCTTGATGCTGTTCCGAGGGACCCAGGTTCCATTCCCAACAATTATGGCAAGGCATACAGTTTACGACCATCTACACTATCTGCATCCCATGTTCTAGCAGACTAACTCCCTTTCCTGGTCTTCATGAACACTAGTGTCTGCCTACATGTATGTGAACACCTAGTACACATACATGTAGGCAGACATTCATATAAACTATAGTTGGGTCGGGCATTGGTGGCACACACCTTTAATCCAGAGGCAGAGGCAGGCAGATGAGTTCAAGACAGCCTGGTCTATAAGAGCTAGTTCCAGGACAGTTTCCAAAACCACAGAGAAACCCTGTCTTGGAAAACAAAAACAAAACAATTGAATTTTCTTTGGACTGCCAGCTCCCAAATAATGACATGGAGATCTTAGATATGAAAGCTTGGCCTTATCAGGCTTGTTGCCAACTAGCTATTAAAACTTAAATCAATCCATTTATATTATATTCTGCTATGTAGCTCATTACATCTGACTTCCTCCATGTCTGGCTAGCAAATCTCCCACCTCAGATTCCTTCCCAGAGTTCCTATCTTTCCCTAGAAGTCCTGCCTATCCTCTCCTATCTATTGACTTTTCAGCTCAGGATGTTCAGTTCTTTATTAAACCAGTCAGAAGGTGCCTTAGGCAGATGAAGAAGGGCAGAGACACATCTTTAATAATGCACACCAAAAAAAAAATTGTCCCTTAAAAAGCATTTGCTACTCTTCCAAAGGATCCAAGTTCAATTACCAGCACCCACACTGAGTGACTCAAGTGCTTGTGACTTCTGCCACTGGGGCTGTGATCTGTCCACACCAGCAAACCTTCACACAATGAAACATCAAAAACTGAAGTACTGGTAAGAGCATGAAACATTGGAACCTCTGTCACTACTGCAAATGATGCACCCATTTGGAAAGGTATTGAGCAGTTGTGTTTTTGTTTTGGCTTTTGTGGGGATGAATTTTTAACCACACCTAGTGCTTTGAGTTGGCCCACCCCAACATCTATTCCATATGACCTGCTAGAACACGGGAAGAGACCAGCCTTTATAACCATAGCTGCAAGATCTCCAAGACTCGGCAACAGTGGAATATGAGAGCCATTTCTGTGAGGGTTCTGTATTGGTGTACCAGAAGACAGAAGCCTTGAACCAGACTAACAACTCACTGCACTGAACATTTGCAAGTAAAGCTGTTTGGGCAAAAGGGTGTCCTGCGCGGCACAATGCAACTCCCAAGGCCACTAAGGAAAATGAATATGTGATAGAGAGGCAGGAAAGACGTGGGATTGAAATGGTTTTTATTTCTTTGTTTCATTATTTCTCCCTCTTTTTTAATTTTCTTTTTTGGGGAGAGGCTACAAGGGTAGAAGGTAGGCATGGAAGGACTTGGAAATGATAGAGATTGGTGTGCATGATGTGAAATTCCAAAATAATAAAAAATGTCAATAAAAACTCTAATTAGAGCCAGGCGGTGGTGGCGCACTTTAATTCCAGCACTCGGGAGGGAGAGGCAGGTGGATCTCTATGAGTTTGAGGCCAACATGGTGTACAAAGCTACCCAGAGAAACCCTGTCTCAAAAAAAATTCTAGCTAGAAATCTTTTGAATCTGTTGAAATCTAGACAAGAAGTTTATAAGGCAAGATGTGACTAGTAGGATTAAGAAAAAGAAGAGAAAGTGGGTTAAGAAGGGTACTATCCAATACTATGTTGGACTGTTAATGATCCACTAGCCAGTGGCATCAAGCTGTTTCTTACAGTTCTGGAGATCCATCTGGGGTTTTCAGATCTTATTTTTTACTATAACCAACGGGTTGACATAGAAGCAACATTCCCTTCTGAGGAAGGGACAAAGACCATCTCTCTCTGAAGTTAGTAAATCCCACCCTTGCTGATTTTGTCACACTACGCCGGCCAGTGAATCTGATTGGAGTGTGAGGATGGTCTGAACCACCCATTGGAGATCGTGGGTGAACTTGGGGGGAAATTGATGGTAGACAGCTAGGGAAGCAGTCTGTCTGCTCCAGCAGCAACACCAGCAATTATACTTGGGACTGTGAGAATGCACAGGGTCTGAACCACTTGTGTGCCATGCTATGCCACGATAAACCGCGTGATGGAAGCTGGTGAGGGTTCTTCACTGGGTACCACTCCTCATCGCAGAAAAAGGAGCACCAGGGTACACGTCCCAGATCACTCAGCAGTACAACAGAGAATCGAGACATCGAGACATGCGCACATAAGGGCTGGGTGGCAGTGCTCAGAGTCAAATTATTGTTACAGTCTGAGGGACCCAGTATGCATGTCCCTGAGGAGTTAAAACAGTCTGCAATGTCGAAGAGAAAGATAAGGTGGGCAGTGGTATTTGGCTCAGAGCAGTTGATGAGAGGTGAACTGAGAGAGTCTATCAGTACAATGGATGAGGCTATCAATGGTGGTCATGAGTTTGACCTAGGAGGGATACACAGCTAGCAGTTTATAGGTAGCCTAAGGTAGCACTCCCTTGTGCATATGTGTAGGATGAGGTGATAACTCTTGTAGGGTCTCAATGCAAGAGTGAGATGGGTAGTATTCTGGGATGGGTTGGGGAGGAGCTTTGAAATGTTAAGAGGTGGGCATGGCTGGAAGGTAAGTGTAGTGTCTTCTATCAATGCTACCTGAAGAGAGAACTCGGGAAGTGGGTAATGTTTGGAGACCCTTGTATGGTATAAGGTAGGGTGGGTATGAGGAGAGAAGACAGTGACAGGTGACCCAATGGTTAACATCTTCAGTTTGCGTGTAAGAAATTCAGCTGCAGCCAGAGTTTGCAGATAAGATGCCTATCATTTGCTAGTATGGTCTAGTTGTTTGATAAATATGCAGTGACACAAAGGGAGGTCCCACAGTTGGTGACCCAGGTTCCTGAGGACATATCCATCCTTTTCTGTAACAGGAAGAGAAGGGCTAGGGCCTATTGAAGCTTACAAAAGGGCTTAGTAATGGGCTCAAGGAGGGATTCATGTGAGGGCTGCCTCATATAAGGGGCATAAGAAGCCAGCCCTTCCTGGGAGGGTAAAATTCAGTCCTCGGTGGCAGGGACTGAAAGCTACTGGATTAGATGTTTCCTATCTAGGACAATGGCCTTGTAAATTGGGGTGATAGATAATTCCAGATAAATTACCTGAGGGGTGCACAACTGGATCTTAGAGGGTGAGATCCTATACCCCCGCCGAGGAAAGTTCAAAAAGGTAGCAGTGCCTCTCTGGCTAATTTGCAGGGACCGACTACAAAGGAGAAGAACATCTACATATTGTGTCAACTTGGATTTAGGAAGAGACAAACAGAATAAGTTAGAGGCCAGAGCCTGGCCAAATAGATGTGGGCTGTCCCGGAACCCCTGGGGTAAGATGATCCAAGAGAGTCTGGTAGAAAGGAGTGTGTCTGGGTCAGTCCAAGTAATGACAATGATACTTTGTGCTGGGGGTCCAGAGGGATAGAAAAGAAGGAATCCTCGAGGTCTGGGACAGAGAAATGGGAGGACTCTAAGGGAATGGTGGAGAGGAGAGTACAGGGGTTAGGTACTATGGGATGGAAGGTGTGGTGATATATTATTTATGATTTATTAAAGCTTGCCTGAGGATTCAGAAAACAAAGTCAGCCATAAGCCATAGAAGACAGACACACACCTTTAATATTCCAGGAGCCAGAAGCTAGGAGGTGGTAATACACACCTTTAATCCTAGGACTCAGGATTAAGAAGCAGATGGATCTCTGTGAGTCCAAGGCCTCCCAGATCTGCACAAGACTGATCCAGTCCTAAAGAGAAACAGCTCACACAAAGATGATCTCAGCAGCTGGGATCACACGCCTTTAATCCCAGCACTAGAGGGGTATAAAAGATAGGAGCAGGATCTTCAGCGGTCAGTATCAGGGACTCATTCTCCAGGCACACTGAGGATTGGAAGACACTGAAGTCTCAGGATTCTCCAGCCACGCTGAGGAGAGGTTACAGTCTGGGGTTTGGTGGAGTCAGGATCACCTTTCAGTCTGAGGTAGAGTAAGAGCTAGTGACCAACTGCTTTGCTTTTCTGATCTTCAGCTTGAAGTCTGAACACCAGTATCAGCTCTGGGTCTTTTATTTGTCATGCTACAGGAAGGGAACCATTGCTGTGGGGATGTTGGAGATCCTGAACTAAGTCATAGGTTCCACTGGGTTTTTGACCATTGAATGTGGGGGTGTTAAAGGGGAAAGAAGAGGGGCACAGAAGAGGTAAGCTCAGAGACGAGAGCCTCAAGTCCCCTGAGGCGTTGGAGAGACAGTGGGTATCAAGCCTGGGTGACATAATTGGTAGGGTCTTGTAGTTAAATGATGAGGGGGGACGATGTTTGACTGTGGGAGTTTGGGGTATCCCATACTTGAGGATCCACCTGGGAAGCCAGTAAGGGAAAAGGTGTGTCAGATTGTGTGGTTTGGAGGAGAATGGTTGGTGAACCTGGGGTCACGTGAATTGGGGGAGTGAAGGAAATAGAGGTTCCCACTTTGGCTGGAAGGTCCCTTCCCAGCAAAGGGATAGGACAGGTTGTTACCACTAGGAGGGAATGGATAAAGGGGATGCCTTTAAAGATATAACTAAGTGGTGAATTCAGTGAGGCTGATTGAAGAAATTCTGCCCAGGTAAGCCTTTCCAGCAATGCTTGGCTCAGATAATGGGCCAGCATTTATTTCCCAAGTCAGTCAGGGACTAGCCACTGCACTGGGGGCGGATTGGAAACTTGATTGTTCAGGACAGGTAGAACGAATGAATAGAACTCTAAAAGAGATCTTAACCAAATTAGCTTTAGAGACTGGTGTGGACTGGGTGACTCTCCTTCCCTTTGCCCTTTTCAGAGTAAGAAACTCCCCATACCAGATGGGCCTTGCCCCTTTTGAAATTATGTATGGGTATCTACCTCCTATGATTCCTAGTCTCCCGAGTGACCTTATTTCTACCCTAGATGACCAAGACATTGTTAATGCCCTCCAGAGGCTACAACATATCCAACAGCAAATCTGGCCTCAACTCAAAGCCATTTATGAATCTGCCGCTCCTCCCAAACCCCACAGGTTCCGTCTGGGCGACTGGGTCTTCATCCGTAGGCATTAGCACAAAACCTTAGAGCCAAGATGGAAAGGGCCTTTCATGATCCTGATGACTACACCCACAGTCATCATGGGTCCATTACTCCCATGCCTGACCTGCAGATCCCTTCGTTGGTATCGGAGGACTATGAAGGGGAATCGTGGGAGCTGTCCGAACACCCAAACAACCCACTCAAACTGCACCTTCATTGACAACGCAATGCTTCTTCATGATACACCTGCTCCTGCTCACCACGGCTGCTGACGCCAATCCTCACGCTCCACAGAACCTGACCTGGAAACTCTATGACGTCTCACCTGAAAAGATTCTCAATCAGACCTCTATAATAACCACACCTGGAACTTGGTATCCCAGTATCTCTTTTGACCTCTGCCAGATGTTCGTAGACCACTATTGCCCTGATCGTGTAGAACACAGCCACTGTGACAAGGAGTCATTTCTATACCAGCTGCCGCAGACCTTCAGGAATCTATGCCCTATTTCTATGTTTGCACAGGGCACCTCTCAAACTTGGGGACCTGTGGAGGGGCCCCTTGCTATCATTGCAAAAGCTGGTCTTCTGTGTCCCCTGGGCACACCTGGTGAACCCCCGTCCTGACAGATAACCTTATCCAGGTCAGTCACGCCTCAACCCTCCCCTCTTGCTCTGGTAACAGAACCACCTTGTATGGATGCCAAGTAACTAATTGCAACCCCTTGGTCTTACACTTCACCCCAAGTGGTAAACAAACAACAGATGAATGGGAGGCAGGTCGCATTTGGGAATTAAGGCTATATACCAAAGACAGGATATTCGGCTGCCAGAATGATGGAACCCTATTTGGGTTATGACTCAAAATCCGGCCAAACAACCAGGCTGAACCCATTGGCCCAAATCAAGTCTTAATAGACAGACCCAGGCTTGGATCCATTAGTTCCAGCCAGCCCACCTCTGCCCCACTCTCCACTCGAGAAACTTTAGAAACAGTTCTCCAACAATCTTATCTATTTCTCAATGACAATAACCCTAATATTACTAAGTCCTGCTGGCTCTGCTATGATATAGCTCCACCATGCTGTGAGGGCGTAGCAGTCCTAGGAAGCTATTCAGTTGAGAAACATTCGACCAATACCACTGGTACTCAAAAGCCTCTTTAACTTTACAGCCAGTGTCCGAACGAGGAACCTTTATAGGTTCCATCTCACCTACTCATTCTCACATCTGTAACCAAACACACCCCACTGTTAACTCAGAGGGATACTTGACTCCCCACAATGATACTTGGTGGACGTGCTCCACAGGCCCTGCTCCCTGCACACACTAAGATGATCAAAGAGACTAAGGGCTTCTGCATACTAATTCGGT